TTGAGTTTCGCCTGCAATTTCTCAACCTCCTTTTCCAACTCCGGCACTAGCTCCTCATTTTCGTGCACTTTTTGCCCAAATTGTTCTTCTGTTTCTTTAGCTCTTTCTTCTGCATTGACTGCAGCTCCTTCTGCTGTTCCTTGGCGTATTTTAGCTCTTCTCGCAACTTCGCTTCTTGCTTTTCAAAGTCAGCGTATTTCGACTTTGTCTCGTCCACTTGTTTGGCAAGCTCTTCACTCGTTGGTACAAAGCTTCAACAAACTGCAATTCTTCACGGTTTGTCGACATGCGTGCTAGCTCTGCTTGAATTAGGCCTGCAACTCATCACGTTTAGACTCACACAACTTGCGGTTCTTTGACGCCTCTTGGATCCAAAATTGGTACAGAATGTTTGTTGTCATGTACCCTTCCTTCTCTTTACAGAGATACTCAAGCGCTTCGGCACGAAATCCTTCCAGATGTGGGTTTTGCCATGGATTACTGCCTGATCTCATTGACGGTTCGCCATCTGCACGCTTCTCATTCTGGTCTTCTTCGAGCCTGCGCAGGTTCACTTCGGCTCGACTATACCGCAGGCGTTGGCTTCAAGTGCCTTCTTACAGGCTCCTCTACAAGCTGGATCTACGTCCGTTGTGCTGATCACTGACCGCAAAGCATTCATTTCTGTCCAAAACGGCTCCATATCCTGCTGAATAGCCTCCATGTTGCTACGTAACTTGGCTGTTTCTTCTTTGTGACTCTCGAAAATACCCTGTAGCACTTGCTCTTGAGTTTCGCCTGCAATTTCTCAACCTCCTTTTCCAATTCCGGCACTAGCTCCTCATTTTCCTGCACTTTTTGCCCAAATTGTTCTTCTGTTTCTTTAGCTCTTTCTTCTGCATTGACTGCAGCTCCTTCTGCTGTTCCTTGGCGTATTTTAGCTCTTCTCGCAACTTCGCTTCTTGCTTTTCAAAGTCAGCGTATTTCGACTTTGTCTCGTCCACTTGTTTGGCAAGCTCTTCACTCGTTGGTACAAAGCTTCAACAAACTGCAATTCTTCACGGTTTGTCTACATGCGTGCTAGCTCTGCTTGAATTAGGCCTGCAACTCATCACGTTTAGACTCACACAACTTGCGGTTCTTTGACGCCTCTTGGATCCAAAATTGGTACAGAATGTTTGTTGTCATGTACCCTTCCTTCTCTTTACAGAGATACTCAAGCGCTTCGGCACGAAATCCTTCCAGATGTGGGTTTTGCCATGGATTACTGCCTGATCTCATTGACGGTTCGCCATCTGCACGCTTCTCATTCTGGTCTTCTTCGAGCCTGCGCAGGTTCACTTCGGCTCGACTATACCGCAGGCGTTGGCTTCGAGTGCCTTCTTACAGGCTCCTCTACAAGCTGGATCTACGTCCGTTGTGCTGATCACTGACCGCAAAGCATTCATTTCTGTCCAAAACGGCTCCATATCCTGCTGAATAGCCTCCATGTTGCTACGTAACTTGGCTGTTTCTTCTTTGTGACTCTCGAAAATACCCTGTAGCACTTGCTCTTGAGTTTCGCCTGCACTTTCTCAACCTCCTTTTCCAATTCCGGCACTAGCTCTTCATTTTCGTGCACTTTTTGCCCAAATTGTTCTTCTGTTTCTTTAGCTCTTTCTTCTGCATTGACTGCAGCTCCTTCTGCTGTTCCTTGGCGTATTTTAGCTCTTCTCGCAACTTCGCTTCTTGCTTTTCAAAGTCAGCGTATTTCGACTTTGTCTCGTCCACTTGTTTGGCAAGCTCTTCACTCGTTGGTACAAAGCTTCAACAAACTGCAATTCTTCACGGTTTGTCTACATGCGTGCTAGCTCTGCTTGAATTAGGCCTGCAACTCATCACGTTTAGACTCACACAACTTGCGGTTCTTTGACGCCTCTTGGATCCAAAATTGGTACAGAATGTTTGTTGTCATGTACCCTTCCTTCTCTTTACAGAGATACTCAAGCGCTTCGGCACGAAATCCTTCCAGATGTGGGTTTTGCCATGGATTACTGCCTGATCTCATTGACGGTTCGCCATCTGCACGCTTCTCATTCTGGTCTTCTTCGAGCCTGCGCAGGTTCACTTCGGCTCGACTATACCGCAGGCGTTGGCTTCAAGTGCCTTCTTACAGGCTCCTCTACAAGCTGGATCTACGTCCGTTGTGTTGATCACTGACCGCAAAGCATTCATTTCTGTCCAAAACGGCTCCATATCCTGCTGAATAGCCTCCATGTTGCTACGTAACTTGGCTGTTTCTTCGTTGTGACTCTCGAAAATACCCTGTAGCACTTGCTCTTGAGTTTCGCCTGCACTTTCTCAACCTCCTTTTCCAATTCCGGCACTAGCTCCTCATTTTCCTGCACTTTTTGCCCAAATTGTTCTTCTGTTTCTTTAGCTCTTTCTTCTGCATTGACTGCAGCTCCTTCTGCTGTTCCTTGGCGTATGTTAGCTCTTCTCGCAACTTCGCTTCTTGCTTTTCAAAGTCAGCGTATTTCGACTTTGTCTCGTCCACTTGTTTGGCAAGCTCTTCACTCGTTGGTACAAAGCTTCAACAAACTGCAATTCTTCACGGTTTGTCGACATGCGTGCTAGCTCTGCTTGAATTAGGCCTGCAACTCATCACGTTTAGACTCACACAACTTGCGGTTCTTTGACGCCTCTTGGATCCAAAATTGGTACAGAATGTTTGTTGTCATGTACCCTTCCTTCTCTTTACAGAGATACTCAAGCGCTTCACGAAATCCTTCCTATCGCACATCGAAGGTGTCGGCTATAGGGGTACCCTTCTTTGGACCGGCGTTTGATTCTACAGTACAACTTGTCTAAAATGTTTCTGCACTTACTGATAACCTGTCTAATCTGCTAACCTATGGTCAATCCCGAGAACGTCCATCCAATTAGTATAAAACTGCCGTATTTGGTAGCCTTTATTATCTTATAAAACCTTTTAGTGTCAGCTTAGACAGGTTCTTCTGTACTATATACACTGCTGAGGCTTTGATTACACGTAAGAAACTGCAACTCTTGCAGATGAAAAAGAATTGGACCCTACTGCCTATTTTTCAATCGTGTAAGTGAACTAGAAGGCGAACCCTTACCCTCACAAATTTCATGTATCCATTTCGTTACCTGAATTTCAAGAAAAATTTGGCAATGTAGAAGCTAGTAGCCATATCACTGAGACCGTCTCAGTTGCTGGTCGACTTGTCAACTTCGTAATAAACGTTCTTCTGGAGCGAAATTGGTCTTTTATGATCTTCGTACCGATGGAAAAAGCTTCAAAATAATGTCGGACATTGGATCCGATGAAAATGACCAAGCTTCTATCAAAATCCACAGCATTTTACGTCGTGGAGATATCATAGGGGTCTAAGAGTACCCTGGTAAATTCAAAAGGGTGAATTGCCGTATCCATTTATCGCAACAATTGGTACTATTGTCTCCTTGTATGCACATGCTGTCAAAAAGTCATACTGGACTCACTCTTCAACAGGACACACGGTATCGTCAAAGGTGATTGGATCTTATTATGAATGATGACACGCGTGGAGCATTGTCACTTGAGCCAAGATCATAAACGCCATTCGTCGATTTTTGTGCGATAAGAACTTTTTAGAAGTTGAGACTCAAATGGTGTAAATGATTGTCGGAGGTGCTGCTGCAAAACTTTTGTTACGTATCACAATGATCTGCACTTGAACTTGTTTAACCGTTAAGTTTATGGAGAGCGTGCGTTTTCACCAGTGAAATGCCCGTCATCCGTGCCAGCATCGATGAGCTGCTCACGTTGATCCGCCTTCATGCTGTAACGCTCGTAGATGGCTTCAACCTCTCGGATCACATGTTGAACTCGACACTCGACCGGTATGACGGTAACGTATACGAGGCTCTGTAAAAGTCTGCGCAGTACGATCCTCTGAATCACTCGTCGGACAAGGTCGCGGTGTACGAGTCGCTACGGCCGATTCGCGTTGAAATATCACAGTCATGTCTGGAAGAGGTTGATGTTAAAGAGATTTGGGTCGTCTACTTGAAAAACTAAGTACACACGACTTTCTACTGTAAGAAGCCACGATTTGTGCAATGCCATTTGCCACAACGTGCGAATTAACTTCAACATGGACGATACAACGATCAAGTCACTGACAAGCGAAGCTTAGTGATTTGTCATTAAATTTGCGTTGTGGTTTGCACCTCAAGATTGACTTGTCAGTGGCACTAAGCTCAGTGATCAAGATGACTGAACTTGGGCTTCTTCTGAGCAATCCGACGGTGGCGATGGAGAATGGGTAGACGGTAATGCCATGCAAGATTTGACTTTTGGAGGGACTGAGACAATTGCAAATAATAGCGACGTAGTAAGCGAAGAAGCAGCAGCACCCGGTCGATGTGGAATCCTGATGGGTAATGTCGGCTGCACATGTAAGGAGGAGTACATCAACCAAACCAATTCCTCCTCGTTACTGTCTTCATCCTCGATGTGCTCCTCCTTTTGCTCATCGATTGCTTCGTTTCGATCAGCATTCTTGCTCTTCTTTCGACGCTTCCGAGCGGGCAAATCTGATTCATTCTCGAAAACACTCGCACTGTGTTCTTGCTCCGTGATGAAAGCTGTATGGAGAGACGTGAGTTTTGCTTCCCAGTATGTCTCTTTGCGTTTTCATCCCCAGCATTTCTTCGCAGTCCTTCAAGCTGTTGGATAGATCAACTTCTGCACTTGCCATCCCGTCGTACTCCTTCTTTAGCTTTCGGTACTTTGACTCGTCCTTGCGGAGTCTTCTCTCTTTCGCAGTAACCTGCTCTTGAATCGCATTGCACTTCTCGCGGACTGCAAGACCTTTCTCCTTCATTGCAGTAATCTGCTCACGCGTGCGTTTAATCTTCGTTTTCGCTGATTCGATATCCTCCTCAATCTTCTTTAGGGCCTGCTCATTCTTTTCGGTGTTCTTTTAGCTGCTCTGAAAGTTACGCGAATCTTGGTCAGCTGTTTCGTTTAATCAGTAATTTGCTTCGTGATTTTTTGCCACACCCTGCTCCATGCGCAGTTTCTCACCACCGCCTGACATTGCGCCGGACATCTCCACCAACTGTCCGTCTAAAGTCACGACACGATATTTGTATTGGCGTCCTTGATAAGCAATCGCTGAAGCCTCATCCAGGTCTTTAGTCACCAGTGTGTCACGCAGGGCATAATAAAACGCTGGCAGGTACTTGTCATCATTCACTTTCACCAACTTAAACAGTCGCGGTGCTTGGTGTCCGGAAGGAGCACTGACATCACGAAAATGCTAAGTATACTTCGCCTTCAGATAACCCTGTTGCTCCAAAAATCAGGAACGTAGTGCATCCCAAGTTATGCTTACGTAGATATGCCACACACGCTTGCGCGCCCGAAGTCGTCGCAACAACCAAATTGTTAAGCGCGCCACAAGCAGTTGAGATGGCGACGTTGTACTTGCCCTCGATTGCACCAAGGTGACCCAGGCGACCGAAAAGCCCAGCATATTCAAGTGGCATACCTGGTTTGAATGCATCAAGAAGCTCCCGTAGCATACGGCTCCGAGTTGCATGTGATTGCACCGCGATAGAGGCCTCTTCAGCTTTTGTGCGCGTCTCGCGGTATTTCTCTGCAACAGAGGTATCTTTGCCTTTTACGTCGTTCAACTCTTGCTCAGCGACGACACGACAATGCCGTCCTTCATCTTGGCGGCGAGCTTTGCACGCTTCTCATTCTGGTCTTCTTCGAGCCTGCGCAGGTTCACTTCGGCTCGACTATACCGCAGGCGTTGGCTTCAAGTGCCTTCTTATAGGCTCCTCTACAAGTTGGTGCAAGTACATACATGTATGTACTGTATCCATACGTTATGGAGACGCCAGCTTATGTGTTATCAGGTTAGACCTCTAAAGGGGCCCCAGCAATAGCACGATGTATGGATAACTGTAGGCCAGATTGCTTGTCATTGTTCGTCAAGCAGATTTAACGTGGCAATGCAGCCGAGCCAACACCTGGAATCCGGCAAGTGGGGACAATGTCAACGACCAATCGATATCGAATGATATCAACGTTGTGCCGTCTGCCAGCATTTGACTCACCATCATTATAATTGAGACCCAAGCACCCGATCTCCTCCATGGCACCGGCCACTAGCTGAGTTTTGATCATTATTCCTCCTGATCAAATCGAGTTTAGTACAACAAACGGGCTAATAAGATTAATTCTTGGCCTTTTGGTCTTAGTCGTGCGCCTGGTCAGACAGAGCGACCGCTTCCGGTTGGATTGAGCATACCAATATCACTCGGGCACCGGAAGCAGATGATATTGAAGAAAGAATATCGACCCCAATTTCGACTTTTCTAGCGTATGATTTGAAATGCTACAATTGCATTTCATGATCATTAGACGTTTGACAGGCGTAAATGTGACTGGTGTTGTGACTGATGGAGTTAAGACAGCGCAAGAGGCTACTACATGTGGCGACGCGATTATCACCATTTTGCGGTGGCACGGTCCTAAGAGTTAATACAACAGCGTGGTTGATACAGTATTAACTAAAAGCTGCTGAGGGTTTGATTACACGTAAGAAACTACAACTCTTGCAGATGAAGAAGAATTGGACCCTACTGCCTATTTTTTCAATCGTGTAAGTGAACTAGAAGGTGAACCCTTACCATCACAAATTTCATGTATCCATTTCGTTACCGGAATTCCAAGAAAAATTTGGCAATGAAGAAGCTGGTAGTCATCACTCAGGCGGTTTTGACACCACTCAGGCGGTTTTGACACCACTCAGGCGGTTTTGACCCCACTCTGGCCGATTCTGCATCGACCGTTTATATTGCTATGCGCGCGTCAAGTAATTCATCTAGTCATGGCTTATTACAGAGTCCGGTATCAGCCATGGCTTGATTGTCCTAAATAGGGCAACTATTGCTCAGCAGTCTAAAAAGCTTTCTTTCCGTGCATGATTACGAGCACAGTTTGTTTTTGTCGTCGCACCATGTACACAAGTCCATCAATCACCAATTGCTTCAAATACAGCTTAAGATCCACACGCATGAACAAATTCATGTGCAGATCATTGTGATACGTAACAAAAGGTTTTGCAGCAGCACCTCCGACAATCATTTTCACCATTTGAGTCTCAACTTCCAAAAAGTTCTTATCGCACAAAAATCGACGAATGGCGTTTATGATCTTGGCTCAAGTGACAATGCTCCACGCATGTCATCATTCATAATAAGATCCAATCACCTTTGACGATACCGTGTGTCCTGTTGAAGAGTGAGTCCAGTACGACTTTTTGACAGCATGTGCACACAAGGAACCAATAGTACCAATTGTTGCGATAAATGGATAATTCACCCTTTTTGGATTTACCAGGGTACTCTTAGACCCCTAGGATATCTCCACGACGTAAAATGCTGTGGATTTTGATAGAAGCTTGGTCATTTTCATCGGATCCAATGTCCGACATTATTTGAAACTTTTTCCATCGGTACGAAGATCATAAAAGACCAATTTCGCTCCAGAAGAACGTTTACTATGAAGTTGACCAGCAACTGAGACGGTCTCAGTGCTAGACGGACACGAAGCAACTGCGTTGCACTTTCAGGGTATCACGAGCTGATCGGCCACACGACGATGTACGTGCTCATGTTCATAAAGATCCTAGGCTATTGTTCACGGACAAATATGGATAAAGATGGCCAAGGTGGCGCATGATTGGATGCTAAGCCCAGACGCAGATGGCGTGGGTCTAACGTGCGCGAACTAGAGACAACAGCCACGTACATTTCGAGTTCGCAATCCAATCGCTTACGCTGAGGTCCATGAAGTGTGGCCTGGTGCTTTAGCACGTATCGCCAACTTTGGAGTGGTATATGCGAAATTGCTGCTTGGTAGGCAAGGACTACGGCGTGCACAACTTTATGATGCAGCTGCGTGACTTCGATACACGCGAGACGATACTTGGTATGACGTTGGGCGACGTCGGCCCAATGATCTGATTAAACGATGTAGACAATGAATACTGTAGATTCTATATGTTCGCATCTTACGCAAAATGTGTCCGCGAGCGTTGCCCCCACGCCCTCAGTGTCGATAAACGATCCTTTAGCAACGCCTTCTCGCGCGGTGCCACGCGTCCGTCTACTCCGCGAGCGTTGCCCACGCGCCCTTAGTGTCGATAAACAATCCTCTAGCAACGCCCTCTCTCTCGGCGCCACGCGTCCGTATTCTCCGGGAGGGCAGCCGCCGCGCGTTCAGTGCCGATAAACGATCCTCTATAAACGCCTTCTCGCGCGGCGCCACACGTCCGTCTCCTCCGCGACGGCAGCCGCCGCGGCATTTTATCTGCATCTGAACATCCGCAGCCGCGCGCTCAGTGCCGATAAACGACAATCTAGTAACGCTTTCGCGCACGATTCAACGCATCCGTCTTCTCCAAGAGTGCAGCCCATGTCCGTTGAGTGCAGATAAATTTTCCTCTTGCAACGCCCTCTCGCTCGGCGCCACACGTCCGTCTCCTCCGCGACGGCAGCCGCCGCGGCATTTTATCTGCATCTGAACATCCGCAGCCGCGCGCTCAGTGCCGATAAACGACAATCAAGTAACGATTTCGCGCGCAATTCAACGCGTCCGTCTTCTCCAATAGCGCAGCCCATGTCCGTTGAGTGCAGATAAATGTTCCTCTTGCAACGCCCTCTCGCTCGGCGCGACACAACCGTCTCCTCTGCGAGGGAAGCCGCCGCGGCATCCTTCTGCGTCTGAACCTTCGCATCCGCGCTCCGGCCGAAAAACGATCTTCTAGCAACGCCTTCTCGCGCGGCGCCACACATCCGTCTCCTCCGCGAGTGCAGCCGCCGCCCGCTCAGTGCCGATAAACGATCTTCTAGCAGCGCCTTCTTGCAGGGCGCAAGCGCCCGTCTCCTCCTCGAACGCGGCCGCCGAGGCATCCTTCTGCGTCTGAACCTTTGCTACCGCGCGCTCAGTGCTGATAACGATCTTCTAGCAACGCCTTCTCGCGCGGTGCCACCCTCCTTTTCTCCGCGAGCGCAGCCGCCGCCCGCTCAGTGCGGATAAACGATACTCTAGCACCGCCTTCTCGCGCGGCGCCACGCGCCCATCTCCTCCGCGAGAGCAGCCGCCGCGCGCTCAGTGACGATAAATGGTCATATAGCACCGCCTTCTCGCGCGGCGCCACACATCCTTCTCCTTCGCGAGCGCAGCCGCCGCCCGCTCAGTTCGGATAAACTATTCTCTACTACCGCCTTCTCGCAAGGCGCCACGCACCCATCTCCTCCGCGAGAGCAGCCGCCGCGCGCTCAGTGACGATAAACGATACTCTAGCAACGCCTTCTCGCGCATCGCCACACATCCTTCTCCTTCGCGAGCGCAGCCGCCGCCCGCTCAGTGCCAATAAAAGATCCTCTAGAATCGCCTTCTTGCGCGGCGCCACGCGCCCGTCTCCTCCGCGAACGCGGCTGCCTTGGCATCCTTCTGCGTCTGAACCTCTGCTGCCGCGCGCTCAGGGCCGATAAACGATTCTCTAGCAACAGCACCTCACGCGGCGCCACCCTCCGTCTCGTCCGCGAGCGCAGCCATCGCCTGCTCAGTGCAGATAAACGATCCTCTAGCACCGCCTTCTCGCGCGGCGCCACGCGCCCATCTCCTCCGCGAGAGCAGCCGCCGCGCGCTCAGTGACGATAAATGGTCATATAGCACCGCCTTCTCGCGCGGCGCCACGCGCCCATCTCCTCCGCGAGAGCAGCCGCCGCGCGCTCAGTGACGATAAATGGTCATATAGCACCGCCTTCTCGCGCGGCGCCACACATCCTTCTCCTTCGCGAGCGCAGCCGCCGCCCGCTCAGTGCCAATAAAAGATCCTCTAGAATCGCCTTCTTGCGCGGCGCCACGCGCCCGTCTCCTCCGCGAACGCGGCTGCCTTGGCATCCTTCTGCGTCTGAACCTCTGCTGCCGCGCGCTCAGGGCCGATAAACGATTCTCTAGCAACAGCTCCTCACGCGGCGCCACCCTCCGTCTCGTCCGCGAGCGCAGCCATCGCCTGCTCAGTGCAGATAAACGATCCTCTAGCACCGCCTTCTCGCGCGGCGCCACGCGCCTGTCTCCTCCGCGAGCGCAGCCGCCGCCGCTCAGTAACGATAAATGGTCGTATAGCACCGCCTTCTCGCGCGGCGCTACGCGTCGACTCCTCCGCGAGAGCAGCCGCCGCGCGCTCAGTGACGATAAATGGTCATATAGCACCGCCTTCTCGCGCGGCGCCACACATCCTTCTCCTTCGCGAGCGCAGCCGCCGCCCGCTCAGTGCCAATAAAAGATCCTCTAGAATCGCCTTCTTGCGCGGCGCCACGCGCCCGTCTCCTCCGCGAACGCGGCTGCCTTGGCATCCTTCTGGTCTGAACCTCTGCTGCGCGCGCTCAGGGCCGATAAACGATTCTCTAGCAACAGCTCCTCACGCGGCGCCACCCTCCGTCTCGTCCGCGAGCGCAGCCATCGC